ATAGGCGGCAATGACTGGCACTAATGGGCGGCACTGACTGGCACTGATAGGCGGCACTGACTGGCACTGATAGGTGGCACTGATTGGCAGCACTGATAGGTGGCACTGATTGGCATTGATAGGTGGCACTGACTGGCACTGATGGGTGACACTGAAAGGCAGCTCAGATGGGCACTGATATGTGGCATTGATGTGCAATGGTAGGCACTGATATGTGGCACTGATGTGGCACTGATGGGCACTGGCACGAGGCACTGATGAGCACTAACACAAGGCACTGATGGACACTGACAGGTGGCACTGCTGGGGCTACACTGATCATCAGGGCACACTGATCATCAGTGCCCTGATGATCAGTGTACATGTCCCCTCCGCGGAAAGCCAATTACCGGCTCTCCTCTCGAGCTGTCAGCGTGACAGCTCGAGAGGAGAGAAATGCCGATAACCAGCATATCCCTGTTTACATGTGATCAGGGACACAGCGCACTGCCGATCGCCACGCTGTGCGCTCCCTGAGCCGCGCATGCGCAGTGAGAATGGGAGGACGTCATATGATGTCCTCCCAGAACGAGAGAACCACCTTGCGCCTGTCATATTACTATATGGAGGGCGGGAGGTGGTTAAATTTAGCTGTATAGTTCTTGCTACAACCATAACCTACCACCAAAGAACAACCCAAAATAATTTTTCCTGCTCCTGACAATCGAAGTGTTTCCACGTGTGTATGTTAGTTGTTATTTGTACTTGTAGTACAGCCCAGAAACAATAGGGCACAATTTGCTTTTTTTTTTATCCTGCCACTAACTGACACTGATACTAATTTAAAAATAAAAAAAAACCCTGACCAAAAAAAAAAAAAAAACAAACTGACCCTGACCTTTGACCCTGACATTGACTCAAACACTAACCCTGGCACAGACCTAGATCAAACCTTGATCTAGGTATTTTTGTTTGTTTATTTGCTATTATATTTATTTATTTATTTATTTTTTACACACACTTTTTTTTTCTCTTTGAAAGGACAGAGTAGAGGAAATATAGAGATAAAACAAGGGGGGGCGGGCTTCACAGTGACTAATCACTGTGATAGCCAATCAGAGGCTATCACAGCGATCAGGTGACCCAGAATCGGGAGTTCCAAGTCCCGATCGTTAGAACAGGGCGCGGGGCGCTCACTGACACCCTGGTCTTTGTGTTGGGAGTGCACCATACAGCGCGCTTCCAGCAGAAAGACAGGTAAGCAAATTAACGGCCCCATGGAAAAAAGTCCAGTTCTGTGAGGCTGCTAATCGGCATCAAGGAGTTAAGGAAAAGTGGGTAATATGGGTGAAGGTCTACTTTAAAGTTAATAATTAAGAAGTTATACTATACTATACTGCACAAAAAGATTGCTATTCTTTTCTGGCATTTCTTGCCAGTGATGTTGGGTCTAGTCTCCTATGGGTGCTTTCTGTAGAAGGCTGGTACTAAGGAGGCACCTGTGCAGGCACACTCCCGTTGGGTCCTGAGCTGGGCTGTGTGCATCCATAGACACACATATCACCAGCGTAGCACCCTCCTAGATAGGTGTTAGGATAGTTAGGTTAAGCATAGATGTGTTTCTCTGCTTAGCAGAAAGACTGAATTGAAAAAAACCTAATTGGGCTCTCTGCTTAACGGAGTGCTGTGATGCCTTCCAGAACTTAGGTAGGGGGCTAGGCAAATGAACAGCATATTGAACTTGAATATGGATACAGCCCTGGCTAATTGTAGAGGAGGGCAGCTCAATTGCATGCTGGGAGTGATAGTTATGTTCTGTGAGCACATACATAGTGCAGAGTTCAGGGGTGAGCTTTATACAGATTGCAGAGTTCAGGGGTGCGCTACGTATGGGGATGCTTTCCTCTGCATCCCCCATCTACATTTCAAGTTCACCCCTCTTCAGCTCTGACCTCTGCATGCAACCCCCTCCACTGCCCCTTTCTCCCTCCCCATCCCCTCCTTAAAAGCTCCATCGTCTTCCACATGTCTTATTTTTGTTTCTGTATAAAGCTGAAGCACCCAGACTGCTCTTGTACATCCCCACACACTGTAGGTGCCTCCACCTCTCTCACTTTCAGGGAGATCATTCAGTGGAAATATCAGCATCAGCACTGCACCTCGGGCACCTGCATCTCCCTTGTCCCCATCCTGTACTCAGTTGGAGCTGCTCAGAAGATCAGATCTGGGAGAACTGTTGGGAGACAAGCTCTCGTTTGTAAACACAGAGGCCAGACTTCTGTGTTTACAAGTGATAGGGGTGAGCAAGGAGCAGAGGGTCTGAGTCAGAAGTGGTGGAAATGAGTTCCACCAAGTTCCACCTGAAAAAAAGCCATGATCAGCACTGTGTTGACACAGACAGAAATATAATCAGTACCATAATGACACAACCCTAAAAATGTCCACCAACTAGATCAGTACCATAATGACACAACCATAAAAATGTCCACCAACCATATCAGTACCATAATGACACAACCATAAAAATGTTCACCAACCAGATCAGTGCCATAATGACACAACCATAAAAATGGGCACCAACCAGATCAGTACCATAATGACACAACCATAAAAATGGCCACCAACCAGATCAGTACCATAATGACACAACCATAAAAATGGCCACCAACCAGATCAGTACTATAATGGCGCAACCATAAAAATGTCTACCAACCAGATCAGTACCATAATGACGCAACCATAAAAATGGCCACCGACAAGATCAGTACTATAATGACGCAACCATAAAAATGTCTACCAACCAGATCAGTACCATAATGACACAACCATAACAATGTCCACCAACCAGATCAGTACTATAATGACACAATCATAAAAATAGCCACCTACCAGATCAGTACAAAAATGACACAACCATAACAATGGCCACCAACTAGATCAGTACCATAATGACACAACCATAAAAATGTCCACCAACTAGATCAGTGCCATAATGACACAACCATAAAAATGACCACCAACCAGATCAGTACTATAATGACGCAACCATGAAAATGTCTACCAACCAGATCAGTACCATAATGACACAATCATAAAAACGGCTACCAACCAGATCAGTACCATAATGACACAACCATAAAAACAGCCACCAACCAGATCAGTACCATAATGACACAACCATAAAAATGTCCACCAACTAGATCAGTGCCATAATGACACAACCATAAAAATGTCTACCAACTAGATCAGTGCCATAATGACAGAACCATAACAATAGCCACCTACCAGATCAGTACAATAATGACACAACCATAAAAATGTCCACCAATCAGATCAGTACCATAATGACACAATCATAAAAATGTCCACCAACCAGATCAGTACTATAATGACACAACCATAAAAATGTCCACCAACTAGATCAGTGCCATAATGACACAACCATAAAAATGTCCACCAACTAGATCAGTGTTTTAATGACACAACCATAAAAATGTCCACCAACTAGATCAGTGCCATTATGACACAACCATAAAAACGACCACCAACCAGATCAGTACCATAATGACACAACCATAAAAATGTCCACCAATCAGATCAGTACCATAATGACACAATCATAAAAATGTCCACCAACTAGATCAGTGCCATAATGACACAATCATAAAAATGTCCACCAACCAGATCAGTACCATAATGACACAACCATAAAAACGGCCACCAACCAGATCAGCACCATAATGACACAACCATAAAAATGGCCACCAACCAGATCAATGCCATAATGACACAACCATAAAAATGTCCACCAACTAGATCAATGCCATAATGAAACAACCCTAAAAATGCCCACCAACTAGATCAGTGCCATAATGACACAACCATAAAAATGGCCACCAGCCAGATCAGTACTATAATGTCACACACATAAAAATGTATCTATTCTGCAAAAGTCCATCGGTCACCTAACCAACTCAAGTGACACATGAATCATTGCAGCATGGGTGACACATGGATTGTTAAAGCATGTGCTATGTTACAATAATCCATGTGGAATATGTAAGACTGCAGGGAAGGCTGGAGTTTATTTTATTTATTTATTTCAGGTACTTATATAGCGCCGTCAATTTACACAGTGCTTTACACATATTGTACATTCACATCAGTCCCTAACCCTCATGGAGCGTACAATCTAAGGTCCCTAACTCACATTCATATATACACATACTAGGGCCAATTTAGACAGGAGCCAACTAACATACCAGCATGTCTTTGGTGTGTGTATACTAGGTTGTCTGTGGTTCCTGAAGTTTGTATGCCCTTCATCTTTGCATCACTTATTTTATTACTATTTTGGATAACACATACTAAGCTGCCATATCCAATTTGGCTATCACAAATTTCTTTTTTTCTTGTTTTTGCTGGTGTTAAAAATTGACACCCCATTTACTCTACGGTAGCATGACATCAGACATTGAGCATATGCACATTTATTTTGCACATTTATTTTGCACATAGTGCACCCCTTTTATTTCAAATGAATGCTCTAATGCAGAAAACACCAGAAACAACCTCATGCACTTTTTTGACATTTGCACGTTTTTTAATCGCGTGGTTTTCTGTATTATTTGAGCATTTCATCTTGCACAAAAAATTGCAGTTTTTGTTTGCTGAAACTGTTTTTAGTGATGAACAAAAAAAGCTTTGGCCATACGTCTCTTTCAAATAAGACACATCTACTGCACCAAATGATCAAGTACCTCACATGTTTCACTCCATTTTTTGTGTTCAACTGCCTGGGAAGAACTACAAATATTGACAAAATAGAATTTCACAGTAGTTTGTGGCTTTAGCACTTGTTCCAGCCTGACATCACTGAAAAAGGTCTATGACCAGACGGACAATAAAGCAAAGTTCATGGCGTTAACCCATAAACAAAACAAGGCAGAAAAAATTGTTGAAAAAGTTGATAATAGTTGCTAATAACCAGGGGCGGACTGACCATTTGGAAACTCGGGCACTGCCCGAGGGACTGGGGTCAGTAGTGGGCCCCATGAGATGCCCCTGGTACCTTTTTAATAGGCTTTTCTGAGTTTGGGCAAGGACACAGGGGCCCCATGATCCCCTATTGCCCGGGGGCCCCAAGAGTTGTCAGTCCGCCCCTGCTAATAGCACATAATTATTGAAAACACAGAGTTGTTACACAAACATTTTGGTCTTATGTCTCTTGTGAATCATAGCACTTGCTTGTACTCTCCTCCTGTGACCCAGAGTTCGCTTATAGCAGGCTATAACACGTTGTAGGCTGACACAGAGCCACTCCAGGCTCTAGAACAGTGGTTCTTAACCTGGGTTCGATCGAACCCCAGGGGTTCGGTGAGTCAGTCTCGGGGGTTCGGCGGAGGTGACCCACACCCGACTCATATGATTTGTGATGACATGCCCAGTGGTCGGCAAGCCGCGGCTCTTGTGTGCTGGGCGCCCGCTCCCCTCCCTCCTCTCGGGTGGCAGGAACTCAAATGCAATGATTGGCCAGTCTCGCTGCCACTCACATCCTGATAGCCAGTGATTGGCTGTCAGGATGTGTGTAGGCGGGGCAGCGTGACGAACGTGAGAGGAGCTAGGCTCCTCTCACAGTCCGCCCTGAAGACTGGGGCGGCGCGGGAATACAGCGAGAGGAACGCGCGGAGCAAAGGTAAGTGAATTGACACAGGGGGGACTTGGGGACTTAATATGGGGGATGAATTAATATGGGGAATGAATTACTATAGGGGGGATGAATTACTATGGGGGATGAATTACTATATGGGGGATGAATTATTATATGGGGGATGAATTACTATATGGGGGATGTATTACTATATGGGGGATGTATTACTATATGGGGGATGAATTACTATATGGGGGATGAATTACTATATGGGGGATGTATTACTATGGGGGATGAATTACTATATGGGGGATGAATTACTATGGGGGATGAATTACTATATGGGGGATGAATTACTATATGGGGAAGGAATTACTATAGGGGGGATGAATTACTATATGGGGGATGAATTACTATATGGGGGGATGAATTACTATGGGGGATGAATTACTATATGGGGGATGAATTACTATATGGGGGATGAATTACTATGAGGGATGAATTACTATGGGGGATGAATTACTATATGGGGTATGAATTACTATGGGGGATGAATTACTATATGGGGGATGAATTACTATGGGGGATGAATTTTCATACCGTTTGTTACAACATATCTTTGCGAGCAATCCTTTTCGAGGATGCTGTACATAAAGACGAAGAAAAGGAACAGACTTTGTTGCGAAAATGACAAGAGAGTGGCACTTGCCAAGGGAATGCCGTGCATTTCTGAACTGGCCTCTGAAAGACAACAGCAGAAGTCACACTGATTTGCGGTAAATATTCATTATTTTGTTTTTGTGTGAAAATCATGTTTTAATGGTTTTGTTCTTTGTTCTTAATGGTTTTGTTCATTTTGTGCACCTATGTATAAATATATACCTATGTTTTGAATTTTAAAAATCATATTTTATTTTTCCAAGTAAGAAGGGTTCGGTGAATGCGCATATGAAACTGGTGGGGTTCAGTACCTCCAAAAAGGTTAAGAACCACTGCTCTAGAAGGATCCTGACCAAATTGTCGGGATCCACGCAACTGTCTGATTGGCAATTGGCTCTGGCTCTCAGTACGTGGCTTAGAGCCAAAGCCAGCTGCACCCGCCCAACTCCAGCCCAGTGCTTCAGTGAACACTAGAGGATCAGAGTGGAGAGCAAGGACTGATAGTCAGTGCTCCCCACTCTGAGAAGACTGAGAACTGAGCGATCAGCAGTCATGTGATCGCTCAGTTCAGTCCTAGTGCCCCTGTGGGACAGATGAAATATCACACTGATACTGCAGCCTAGAGGTGAGTATAAAGGTTTTGTTTTTTAGGGGTTTTTTTTTAATAAACCCCAAATTTCTCCTTTAAGTGTCAAAATTAGTTGAAGA